AATATTTGATTGTTTTATATAAAAATAACATATAAAATTTATAGGTAAATAAATACTTATTTTTTTAAATAATATTTAAAAAATTAAAATTTTTATAATTTTATTAATATTAATAGTAATAATAATTACCCCTGTAACCTGTATACCCAATAAGAGAAATGTTAAATGCTTAATTTGGTCTCTCAACTTTATGAAATGAGTATTTTTGGTCCCTCAATAATTTTTTGCATTTTTTTGATCCCTCAACTATACGAAATGCACTCCGTTAATCCTCCTGTTAATTTCGATCGTTAACTCACTTATGTGGCATTTTTTATAATTTTTTTGATGACATGGCAAAATCAAATTGAAAACGTGTTGCCCCGTAAATTTTTTTTTCATGCCAACTCACATTATTATTATTTATATTTTAAAAAATAAAATAAAATAACTCACGGTCATCTTCTTCCTTTCTCTTTTTCTTTTTTTTCCTTCCTCTTCTTTCTTCTTCTTCTTTCTTCCTCGGGTCATTGAACCCAGCAGATCTGGGTTCGACGGAACCCAGAACAGAACCCAGCTCCACATTTTTTTTTTTGTTTATATGAACAACTTTTTTTTGTTCTGATGAATCACAAAATTGTTCATCTCTATTCTCTGAATCTGCTTTTTTATATTTTTCCTTGTGTTGTTCTAGTGCCCACAGATTGGGAACTGCAGCTTTGTCAGCCAAGGAACCCGAGGCTCTTCCCTTTTGCGCCATCACATATGCACTCACAGGAGTTTGAGAATTTGTATCAAAACAAGCAAATTAAGTGGCAATGCATCCATTATTGAATTATTCATTTCTTACTTCTCTACCCAAGATTTATTGTCTGAATTATATGTATAAAAAAAACATATGGATTAAAACTCAGAAAATGCTACTTTGCATTTGAGAACTGATGTTTTGATAAGTATTTCATATGTTTGGATTGTTATGGATAATAAGGTATGGCCTTGCTCTTTTGCCATTCCTCTTGTGGTCCATAGGGTCGGCGACCGATAACCTTTGCCAGAAAACAAAGTAGAAAATGGTGGGCATCAAATGGAGTGATGCAAGGAAAGCCAGTGAGGGAATGGAAGAGGATAGATGATGTCAAAAAGTTCCAGTGAACCCAGATCTGTTGGGTTCCATCGAACCCAGCAAACTGGGTTCAATGACCCAAGGAAGAAGAGGAAGAAAAAAAAAGAAAAAGAGAAAGGAAGAAAATGAACGGAATTATTTTATTTTATTTTTTAAAAATATAAATAGTAATAATGTGAGTTGGCATAAAAAAAATCCACAGGGCAACATGTTTTCAATTTGTTTTTGTTACGTCATCAAAAAAATTATAAAAAATGCCACGCAAGTGAGTTAACATTCGAAATTAACAGAAGGACTAACGGAGTGCATTTCTTAAAGTTTAGGGATCAAAAAAGTGCAAAAAATTATTGAAGGACTAAAAATGTGCAACTCACTAAAGTTGAGGGACCAAATTTAACATTTAACCTAAAAAAACAAGAAAAAAAGTAAAATTTTGAAATCCATTATCTACTGTACCTAATTTTACGTTTGTCTATAATTGTCATTATCAGAGAAGTTCAAAGTCCTGAATCATTGCAAGCGCCATTGCCTATTTCAAAAAAAAAAAAAAATCATTGCAACCGCAATATTTAAAGAAGTCCCAAACGTCCGGCCGGCCATGCAATAATTAAAGTTGTCAATCAGAAATAGTGCCCGACACGTTTTCGTAATTATTATGTCTCCTTAAAACCCTATCGCAAGTTAATTTTCTCTCGTAAATACAGCAACTCATCTTTACCTTTCTTCATTCCGTGATTACCTCCTTCACTCTGTTTCTTCACCGATTTTTCTCATTTCTTTTCAATTTCTCTCCTCATCAATCAATATTATCTCTGAAAATGGCGGAGGCGCTTGTTTCCGCTCTCTTGCAGCAGCTAAAAACAATCATTTATGAAGAGGGAAAACGAGAGGTGAAACTGGTGACTGGTGTTGGGAAAGAAATCAAGAGGCTCGAAGAAAATCTCGAGTCCATCCAAGCTTTGCTTGATGATGCTGAGGAAAGGCAGATGAAGGATAAAAGCATCAAGATTTGGTTAGAAAGACTCAAAGAAGTATCTTATGACATGGAGGACGTGCTGGATGAGTGGAACACTGCACTCTTGAAGTCGCAATTATACGAAGCAGATCAGAATATCTTCTCTCTTTTCGTGGGAAAGGTATGTCATCTCTGCCTTTCATGTTTTTGTTGTGGTCAAGTTGTTCATCGCCGTGGCATTGCTCTTAAAATAAAGGACATCAATGAAAGATTAGATGAGATTGCTAAGGCTAAAGATAGGTATCAATTGACATCAAGGGAAGTTAGACAGCCTAGAAGAGTAGAAAGTACATCATTTACTGAGGAGTCGAAGTTGCATGGTCGAGATGAGGTTAAGAAAGACTTAGTAGACAGTTTGTTGTGTGGTAACAGTGATGAAAGAGAGAATGATGTCAGAACCATCTCGATTGTCGGCATGGGAGGGATTGGGAAAACATCTCTTGCTCAACTTGTATATAATGATGAGACAGTTATGGCCCATTTTAATAAGAAAATATGGGTTTGCGTCTCGGAAGTTTTTGATTTGAGCAAAGTTGCGAAAGCAATTATTATTGGTCTTGCAGAGCCTAAGAAGGATTCAAAACAAATAGATCCTGACTCGGCTCCACTGCAAAATCTTCTTGAAGAAATTTGCAAATCTATTGAGGGGAAGAAGTTTTTTCTTGTTCTGGATGATGTGTGGACCGATGGAAGTGAATCTTGGGAATCATTGAATCAAGCTTTCAAACATGCTGCACCTGGAAGTAGGATTTTGGTGACTACACGAAAGGATACAGTCGCAGACACCATGAAATCCTTTCGTGTCTTTCATCTAGAACAATTGAGTGAAGATGTATGTTGGAAAATACTTTGCCAAGAAGCCTTTGTTGGAAGGGGTGAGGAGCAATGTAAAAATTTTGAGGACATCGGAAAAAATATTGCAAAAGAATGCAGTGGATTGCCATTGGCTGCAAAAACGATCGGATGCATGCTACGTTTCAAGAAAACGAAAGAAGAGTGGACAATTATCTTGAACAGTGAGATATGGAAATTAGAATTGGAAGGTATTTTTGCTCCTTTATTGTTGAGTTATTTAGATTTACCCTCAGCAGTAAGACGGTGCTTTTCGTATTGCTCTACCTTCCGTAAAGGTGTTAAGATTGGAAGAAAGAGCCTGATTCGTCAATGGATGGCACAGGGTTATTTAAATTTTAGTGAGAATCCTGAGATGGAGATTGTTGGGGATGAGTACTTTGACTGCTTGGTGGCACGGTCTTTCTTTCAAGATTTCCTAAAACTTGAAGATGGTAGCATACGGTCCTGTAGGATTCATGACATAGTTCTTGACTTTGCTCGTTTCCTTATGGGAGATGGGGAATTTGTG